TTTTTGTACCAAATACGGTCCAACAACCCCCGAACTTGATATTCCGCGGTGAATGATCCTTATAAACTTGTATTCTTTCGCCGTAAACCCCAAGTCAATCGTTAGCGATTAAATTAAGTACCTGGTAACGAATAGAGGATATTAAATGAATGTAGGTTTAATACTTGATTTATTAAACGAGTAGAATAAAGTTATTTTATGCGAGCCTCTGGCGAGAAAAATATTAGTTTATTCATAAAGTTCAATAAAGTTAGTATTGGACCAACGTTTTATTTATCACATACGTTGAAAATAACTTTTTTCCCGTAAAAATGTAATAAGTTTTCATTGACACGTCTCTTATAGTTAGCGCACTTTTCCGCAATATAATTAGTTTGTATAAATCTCAAATGACTTACGCCAAAATATATGCACGACAGTGCTATACCACTTTTACAGAGTCGTACATCCTGCATGGGTATGTGATAAATATAAACAATTTTCATCTTACATTACATTTTAAAACAAATTTTAAAATGCCGTATACATTGGATGTATTATATTTCGGATATATATCGTATAAGTGTTTTACCACATATTACTCCGGCGTCTTGTGTATGATTATTTTTCGTAGAATCCGCAACATGTGAAACAGCGCTACACCATCTAGTACGTAAGCATGTAACGTTTAAGTCCCAGAATTCACCACTTCCGGCGCCGAAATGTCCACTTCCGGCGAAGATTCCTCCTAAATAACCTAGTTTCCTGCACACGTACGATGCTTCAACGTTAGTAAGGACACTGGCTATTGTTCCCCATTGACCTTTGTGGTAAACCTCAACACGCCCTTCCCTGTCGGTATTTCCATTTACCAGTGCAATATACGGCTCTGAAATGATCAAATAAAACAGCATGTATTAAGTAAAGTTAAATAAAAAATAATTAAAAACGTGACAGTCGCCTTAGATGTTAAGATGGAATATTGTTAGGGCAATGACCATCTAGGAATGACAGGTTTTTTGACAAGACGCAATCATCAATGTACAAAATTTTAATGTAGTTTTATGAACAAATTCATACCTTGACAGACAGACAGACATATGGACCATTAAAAATCTGAATACCACCATTTGGAGGTGTGTGGGAGAGAGGGAGTTTAAACATAAATGTATTGCTTTTAGCTTGCTTGGAATTTATTGGAAGCAATCTCAAGACTCGTCCAGGACTTGCCAGTGCTGGTTTCGTAATGTGAAAGATGATTTTGACCCAAGAGTGATTCTCACACAATCATAATAGTTGTGTTGGTAGTCAAAATAGTCAGACTCTAACCATTAGGCCACTCAGTAACCCTTATAAGTCATTGTCATTTATACATATTAAAAGAACACATATATGGGAAAAACTGTTTTCATTAGCTATTGCTGTAAATTGACCGTCATTTAAAGTATGAGAAGGCCACTGTGTAGACGCACGTCATATTTACAGTAACAAGAATCGGTGGCAAGTGTTGGCATTTTTACTGAACGTAATGAGGCAACAGGACCGTCGTTTAAAAAATGTGGTCAGTCTAAATGCATTGTTTTAATTCAAAACAGGACATAACAAAAAAATAGAGCCAAAATGATAACAGGCACATTAAGCCTCCGAAATGAATATCATTTTCTTTCTTTAGAAAGGGCACATACGTGTTATATATGTGTAATATTGTAAAAAATGAATTTAGAACATACATGTATATGATGCTTATTACCGAAAGAAAATTGAATGTGAAATTATTTTTGATAATGGTATCAAAATTAAACAAATGTAGTATTTTGAAGTCCATACATATACTATATCAGTATAATTGCACTAATTGCAAATTATACGCAAAGTTAGCTCATCGATATAGTCTTTGAGTATTTTTGGGGTGTTTTTTTTTCGAAAATTGTCACGGGACAAAAATAATGTAAAATGACAGTAATGGGTCTTTAAACATTTGCACTTCTTGGTTGGCTTGACGTATACACAAATAAAATTTTAACATAAACATAGTCGATGTGTTAGACTGATATAAAAAGTATAGCATTCTTTGGCATCAGCAGATAGATATTTCTATACAACTTTATGAACAAAAGAAAAAAGAAAAAAAACACGGTGTGCAAAAACAAGTCGTGGTAAAAGATACTGTTTATGTGCCATATCTATATAAAACACACCGTAACACCTGTGTTATTATGCCTGCTTTCCGCAATATAATATATACAAATTACCTAGCACTATTAACTAGGTCAATTAAAGACATGTGTTTTTGATACGCCACATTACGTGTTCCTAATTCCTAACGGTGTAGGTACAGTAATGTTTTTCCTGGTTCACCACGTGCACGAGATCTTTCGAATATTTTATATAACTTATCATGAACGCTTATTATTTATCAAGTCATTACCCTCATTTTCACGCTCCAGTTCCTTTTCCCTGAGTTTTCTTTGAAACTAAGGGGTTTTTATTAAACGAATTTATAAAGTTGGAACATGTTTCTTTGTAGACAAAATAACCCTAATACAAAACAACGAGGGCAAATAAAATTTGAGCAAGAAGTGCTATATGTTATATTTATGAAAAAAGGACAAAGAAACGAAGGCACGCAAATGTGTACAAAAAAAAACAACAACAAAGGGCTCCAAGACACGTTTCCATTGACGTCATTGGATGGTGTTTTACGAGATATTCAAAATATGCATAGATAAAATATATATCGGTCAATAAAATTGAAACAAAACATTATAATTGAAAACGGTACATAGCAAATACATATATTGACTTAAGAATATCCAATTATGTCTTTAATTACGATAGAAGCTGATTTGATTAATGAAACAAACAAAGGTGTTTTTTTTTTATCCAACTCATAATAGTCTTTCATGTTGAAACGCCTAGTCTCGTTACTAAGGCTGGTATCAGCGAGGGTAAACACAGACACACACAACTATACGAAGGACGGTGGTTTCCACCTTTGTTTAATACAATAGTAATAACGTACTCATTATTGATATATACCTACACAATGGGGTCATTCTCATACCGAATTCGTGTTATTACAACTATTGTGTTATTGTGACGTCGAGACCAAACAAAATTAATAAACCCTATCCCTCGAGTCAATACAGAAACAGAAAAAGGCATGATGTCTTTGAAGCTACTATATCGTAGTTATCTGGATGTAAACAGACATAACATCTATGTTAAATGGGCCATTAATCTGGTAGTTAGCATACCACTACCAGGTGAGAATGTGTCTAGTTACTCCACTTTAATGGCTTATGTCTCATTACCTACAAATTACCAATTATTGATGTGCCTGCTTTCCTACACATTACTTTAAAGACACATTTTGCCTCAGAAATAAATAAAATTTTCATTCTTAGAAAGGGCAAACGTAAACATGAGTTTAGCCTGGGTTCCAGTCTGCCGTTTGTTTATGTGCTTCTGTTCGGCAAATCGATTGATATTATGAAAACACGAATGAGAGCGCGTGTTATGAATAGTCAAACAATATCAACGCCTGAATCCCAGGCTAACATGAGTATTTTACAGAATGTTTGATACTTATCACCTGAATAAAGGAGTACTGAATGTGATTTTTTGTCATAAAAGTATCAAAATGTAAACAAAGTTCATGTAGTATCTTGACTTCCATAAAAATTACTTAATCACTATAATTATACTAACTGAAAGAGGCAACAGAATCAAAAGATGTGTCCGCCAATAAGTACTATTTTAGAAACTACAACACGACATCAAAAATAAAAAAAACTTTTAAGAAGTAGAATATTTAAAGCGTTTCTGGGGCATAATGGGCCTTTAATCTATATAACGTTATCACTTTGCTGAAATAACCAAGTTATAAAATTGTTCCTTTTTTAATTCCTGACAGTTGCAGATTAGAATTGTTAAATTAATCTATAATTTGCTTTATCATTTGATAAGATTAAAGGCATGCAGGATTTGAATTCAATCAAGATAAAGATAAATATCACTTCTATCGAGAGGAAAATATATCACAAGAAATGAGAGGAAACGGAAAAGTAAAGGTGTATATCAGTTTATTAGTCGCCGGTAGAAACCGGCGACTATATTTGTAATAGTTTAATATTATACCTATGGTAGGAGAAGCCCTTAAAATCTGAAAATAAAAGTATATCAATCATTGAACAATTAAAGACAACAATTATTTTTCAGTAATCACAAAAAATCAAGCATATGATAACTTTGCTCAGTGGAATGAAATATGCACATATTGACGTCTTAAAAAGCAACATTACAATTTTCATAAAATGAATTAATAACGTATCCCCAAGGATCAGTCATTGAATATTAGAGATACTTTTACTTTTTTCTATGTGTCAAGCATTGCATTTTTATAATAAATAAATCATGAATGGTATTTGAAATGACACTTTAGAATTATTTGGTTGTTTATTTTTTATGAGACCTTTTATATTACATTATTTTATCTAATTATAAACAAATGCTCCCTGGTCTTTCGTAAGAATCACGTGACTACATGTTTATATATGTTGTATCTATTAATAGTTACAGATTGCTGATAAGACAGGTAACTTGTTAATGGTGGTAACTGATAAGATGTAAATCATTGTAATTTGTACAGATAATTACATAAGTTATTTTTCATTAATCAGGTTCATACTTTATATCATAAGAGAAACCTGTTTACATTAAAAATACATTTTCAAAACCTTTTCCTTTCTTCTTGGTAAAGGGTTTAACTTGGCCCTTTCTGTCAAACATTCGACAAGAAAGTTCAATTGTTTACTTTAGGTTGAACATCCCAAAATAATGTTATACTTAAGAGGCACATTATTGAAATATATAATGGTAATCGTTGATTTCGGTATATTCCGTCGGTTTCCGTCACGCAGGTTTCCAAAACGGTATGACGTCAGGGGTCCGGATCGTATTAAATTAGATACATGAAAAAAATAATAAACTATCTTTGTGTTGATAGTTTATCGCACTGAAGGGCAATTAAACGTTTATTTTATATATCGTATGTAACGATTGGAATACGTGTATTGACTTCAACTAAATTATATATCTTTTTTATAGCACATAATAATGATGTACAACACTTTTACAGTAAAACTGTATTGTTTCATGTAATAATTAAATATATATTTCCATAGTCACTTTGCAAATATTCGATGATCGGTAATTATTTGTCGGTAATTATCTGAATCTGAACTAGTAACCTATACGGATTTCAATGTATGGTACAACAGTATATGTATAAAGTATAATTACAAGAAGAATTACCAGCATAGCACTTGCCTTACAAGCCTCAGTGGCAAACATTACTCAACTCATTGTTCCTCTTATTTTTATACTTGAACCATTAAACTTATATTTTCTAATATTTATGATAATACAATCATTTTTCTATCCGGCGATTTGATGCTTTAGCATCAAAATCTCTACTTGTTTACATATAAACGTTTTATACCCGCCACTGCTTATTTTATTTCTGTTTGTTTGTTATTTTCTCACATGCACAGATGGGTCTTGAGTTAACATTTCTCATTTAAGAACAGGTAAATTTGAATGAAATAGTTTAAAAGTAAATGAGCCGCGTCACGACAAAACCAACGTAATTTGTTTGCGACCAGCATGGATCCAGATCAGCCCGCGCTTCCGCGCAGTTTGATCAGGATCCATGCTGTTCGCTATCAGTTTCTCAACTTGCAAAAGGGTTGGTAAGCGAACAGCATGGATCCTGATCAGACTGCGTGAATGAGCTCTGGATCCATGCTGGTCGCAAACGGACTTTGTTGGTTTTGTCGTGACGCGGCTCAAATACTTTCTTGTGTTATATTCACAATGGGTAAACGTAACTAATGTTTGAATAAGATGCTTGTTCTCGCAATAAGCCATACAGTTCGAATTTTAAAAACATACAATAAATTAATAATTCAGTGTTTCCGTTTAGCATAACAGAAGAGATTTCTTTTTTTCTTCTTCCCAAAGTACATGACAATACAACATGGGGATATACTATAAACAGATACAATATGATAAACAAACTATTGGTAGCACTTTATCAGCCGATGACGAGTGTTTTGTTTGGATTCAATGAAATTTTAGCCGCGTCATGACAAAACCAAGATAATGGGTTTGCGACCAGCATGGATCCAGACCAGCCTGCGCATCCGCGCAGTCTGATCAGGATCCATGTTGGTCGCTTACAAAGTCTATAACAAGTAGAGAAATTGAAAGCGAACAGCATGGATCCTGATCAGACTGCGCGAATGTGCAGGCTGGTCTGGATCCATGCTGGTCGCAAACTCATTATGTTGGTTTTGTCATGACGCGGCTCATTTGATGATTAATATGTTTATAAGCAACTGTGATATTGTTCTATATAATTTGCTAAGAAAAGTGGGATACATTTCACTTATTAATCTATTTGATTGCTGAACTTTGTACTTTATTCCTTGTACTTATGACAGTTTGTCACGTGGGATTATTTGCCTTTCTTTCGTTTCAAATGTTTTGGGTATTTTCTTGTTGAATCAATTTTTTACAAACATATATATAGCTAAAAATTGAAAATTTAATTGATTTCTCTATTTGTAAGAAATTAACAAAAAGTTAATGCTACATGTATAATGAGAATATATAATAATGTTGGAACCAAATCATTATTTTTGTATTACATTAAGAATCCTAACAACAAATGTGTAATGATTTATAGCCGGCAAATAAGATATATATAAATAATCCTGTGAAATAAATGTTTACCGATCGGCTCATCGTTAAAGGCCCAGTAGGCATTTAAACTGCTGCTATTTCATTACCTTTTTTAGTTAGTACTTTTATAATGATTAAGTATTTTGTATTGAAGTCAAAACACTTTTGTTTACAATTATAATTGTAATTATTATTACAATTAACTTACATTTCACATCCAGTGCTGGGAAGAAACAAATATTTATTTCCGAGTCTTAATGTGCCTTTAAATTTAGAACAGTCCGTGATTGTTAATATGAGTGATTTTGACATGAAGTGAAAAGAAAATAGCTCTGTCAAATTCCACGAATGAGCCAGCTTGTCTATAATGGCTGATTTGTAAGTTATTATTTATAAGTTATTATTGCTGCCAGTTATCAATAACGTTTTTAAAAAAAACACTATAAGGTTGTTATGCATTTGATTAACGTATCATTAGTTCACACACTTAGTCACTTAGTCATTACTGCGGAAATGGCAGTGAGTACTTTATAACTTATACAAGAATTATACAATACAGTATTGTTTCTTTATGATGCTGTTGTTGTTAGTGTTTACGGTCAGTATGGTTAGTCATACAGCTGTACGCTATTAACCTGTATTCTTGAATAATGTTGTCGGTGCTAACATGTTTTCTGTACACATCTGATGTTTTTTTCCCAAATGACTCAATAAAGCGTCGTAATCTGAACATTTTCCAATTATTGTTCCTATATATCCGGGTTTTCAGGTACAGCGTTTAGCGAGCATAATATTTAGTATGTTGTTTGCACATTTGATTTGTACTACTCTTACAGTTCATGAATTTATGTAAAAAAATTTAAAATGCAATATTATACATTTTATAATCAAAAATATTAGCGCATGCATCACATATATATGAAATATTTAAAGAAGTTTTGAGTCGATATGCAGTATTGCAGTATAATTCTTTTGTACTCTACTGGCATGCTGACCACTTCTATGACAAAATTTATGATACAAGAGAGCGAAATATATCATAAGTAGATCCCTAAGCTTAATTAAGTGAAAATATGTTTACTCACCTGGGTACAAGTTAAACAAACGACACTGACTTGATATAAACACTTACAAACTGGATGTAAATGATAAAAAAACAATTATGTTTATAATTGTAAAAGTTAGAACACGTACCTGGTTCCCCTAGAAGATTTGTCAGTGCCGGGATCAAGCGATTAAGTTTCAGGTTGGTTCTATACACATAACTCATCATATGCTCATAGAGGGCGCTCTGATTCGAATTAGTGCTACACTTATTTCCAGTTTGTTTTTCTGGCAATTCAGAGCCATCTGGTGCTGTAAGTGGAGATTTAACTTCTTCATTTTGAGATGAAGGCTTCTGTTTTGGTTTAAACATAATTGCCATATTAGCTCGATTACGTAACAAAAGCTCTTCGCTCCTTGCATCAATATTAGTAACCAATTTTAGAGTTTTGTTAACTTGGTTTTCAACAAATCTTAGATTATGGAAAACGTATGGTATCCAACCTGTATTGGACGCAATTGCTTCAGAAAGTTGATAAATCCAGTCAGTTTTATTTTGTATATCTTTCATTTGAGCATTTGCTCCTGCCTTTGGATCATCTCTTATAAATGCCTCTGACTTTTGATAAAATGGCGCCGAGAGGAGTGGCTCTTCTTTAAGCTTGTTCAATCTATTAATTTCACGGTCAAGTTTATCAATGGAAAGTTGAATAGAAGATGTACTTGATGTAGCAAGGTCTGTTAACATCTGCACGAGTTGTGTCCCGTTGAACGACATTTTCAATATTTCATCAACTAATGATTTCGTAACAGAACAAATCTGCGATTCATTCTTGCTTTCTTCATTTGATTTTTCACGGTTGGCAATAAATTCCGCAAAATCTGGAATGCTTTGATTAAACAAATCGAAAGTACCATTCATTAAATACGCTACTAATTCTTCCCTGAGGCGAACTTGTTCTGATGCTATAAGTTCTGTGTCAGATATAACTCTTTCTATAAGGTTACCTGTATGTTTATATAATGTTACCGATTGAAACACGTTCTCGTTCACCATAGATAATGCCCTGAGTAATTTCTTGCTTTGGTTTTTAAAATCTGGCGGATATATATTATGGCTATCACATTTGGTTTCTCTTGCCTGCCCTTCAGAGATCGTCACATTGATATGTTTTAACTTTTCATCCAAGATTTCAAGCATTTTACCACAAGACATCTGTACATGTGAGTTTTTAGCTCTGAATTCTTGGTAATTAATTTTATCCGAACTTTCTTTTGTGTCTGAACTTAATTTATCCTGGTCGACCTTGGCGATTGTTATATTCATTAAAGCGGTTGCTAAACCTTGTTTAATATCGTAAGTGTCGCTAGACAAGAGTGTTACCGATTCAGCAAGTGCACCAACGGTTTGGTTCAGATCTTTGCTTTTCTCTTCTACGGTTTCGACTATCGTTTTAATCTGAGCAGTGGAGTTTACACATATATTAGATTTACGTAAAATTTCTGATGTTAACAACCTGGACGTTTCTGAATTTTGCAGCAAGTCTTTTTGTGTTACATCAATCTGTTCTACAGAAGATTTAATAAACGTTGACTCATTTTTAAGTTGATTAATCTGAGCATTAAATACATCTACTCTCTCCGCTACGGACTCAAACTTCTGCTCCAAGTCTTGATGAAAGTGAACAAGATTTTGTTCAATCGCCTGAAACATACCGTTGTTCAACGTTTGTAAATCAACTACTTCGTTCTTCATGCCCGCAATGGATTGTTCAAAAACTTTACTTTGCTGTTCACTTTGACCCATCTGGGTATGCATCGTATGAAGAATAGTGTCAATCGCATGAAAATGTGTGTTTACTACACGAAAACTTCGAACATTGTAATACTGGAGATTGTTCACACCTCTTTCTAACGTCATCAGTCTACTGCTTAGGGAATTAAACTTTTCATCGACAATATCCAGTATTCCTTCGAGTAAATACTTATCCATTGGGTTAATTTTATCCATATTTGGTGTAGCTTTTCCGGCGGTAGGCTTAGGTTTAGGTGGCGTTGCAGTTGTCGCGGGTTCTTCTATTTTTGTAGGGCGTGTTGACTTCTCTGTAGTTATATCTTGCTTCTGTGTCGTAATTTCATTATTTAACTCTTCAGTAGTTGAGGTGACGCTCTCCCCACCTCCTGGAACAGAAACATTTTCTTTAATCTCATTTCTTGATCTGTCCAACGATTCTGTTGTTTTTTGGTTCAGTTTTAACCCGTCTTGACAAATAATTGGCTGCACGACCATAGCAATTAGTATAAAAAAATTAAATCTTAAATGCCATGCGCACTTTGCATATGTTGCCATATTTCCTTATAAACCAAAAGGTCCGTATTAGTTCTTATTAATTCTGATATATCTCCTTTATATAAACAACATATCTAAGGTTTCAATATTCCATTTAATTATACATACCACGTCACAAATATTTTAATAAGTGTATATTCATTCATTAAAGAACAGTGCACTTCATTCAAGTGGCGTATATGAGTGCTCGCTAGAACTATGAACTTGTCCGCAAAGACGTTCATGAACTCTTACTTGGTCATGCAAGTTAGCGGCTCTTTTCACGAGATAATATTCTTTTTTCCCCCTTTATTTTTCTTTCTTAAATTAATTCCACAGCCTTTTTGATAAATATAAACAACTTATGCACCATTCCTGTGTAATTAATGTAATTCTTTCATTAAGTGATGAAAAAAGATTAAACGAATATGGTACAACACGTAACTTCAGGTTAGAATAAGTAAAAAATAAATCCAAGCTTTGAATGAAAATACGGTTACAAACAGAACAATATCCCAACAATTTGCACGGAGTTTTATTCCGTCTAACCTTTTACTGTACTGGCTAGGTGTTATCACATGTGGTTTTATTTAGAGAGATAATGTACGTTCTCTTACAATCAGTGGAGAGCTCCGGAAAAAAAGTCAAACTGGTATCAGCAAATAATTAAAGGCGTGCGCTGCAGTTAATGACTTGAGTGTTGTTAACCTTAATAATAAAATAACACTAACAAATAATATGAGCTATACTTCTGACAAATTCGTTTACTTTCGGCTTGTTTATTTATGTCTCATAAAGGCTATTGTAACAATGATAAAATACTATAACGTGAAACTTAAACGTTTTCTTGAACAACTGGAGATTAATAATAAACTATTATTATTGTATTATTATTATTATTATTATTATTATTATTATTATTATTATTTACTCACTTGAATTAAAATATATCATTTCATACAGAATGTACGTATTTTTGATAAACTTCTTATTTCGGGTGTCGATTAATTGAAAACAATATTCGTTAATGAATTTATTGAAATTGTTGATAAAATAATAGCTAGGATGGTCGAAGGTGATTCTTGCATTTATAAGATACATTTGTAATGAACTCGTTCAATATATTCAGTACTGAACCTATCAATATATCCAGTGTTGAATCTATCGATATATTCAGTATTGAACCTATCGATATATTCAGTATCGAACCTATCAATATATTCAATATTGAACCTATCAATATATTCAATATTGAACCTATCAATATATATATTCAGTATTGAACCTATCAATATATTCAATATTGAACCTATCAATATATTCAGTATTGAACCTATACATTCATTCAATATTGTTAATTACATGTAATGCGTTACATCTGTAAGTGAACTTTGATTTCTTTGATAACTGTTTATAGTACATACGGTATTGCCATGACTTATAAGAATGTTTGAACACTGTGTTGAAGAGACCGCATCAATCATTTCGATTTATCTAACATGCTTTTAAATATGAATGTTTAATTCTAATACTCAGGTGAACATTTTCTCAAGATGAATTTGGTTTTTTTCTTGTCTTTATTTATGTTGAAAACACAACATGGATTTTAACAATGTTTGACTTTAAAAAAATACTGCTATTACTGTTACTAACATTTTCTATACGGACAAGTATAGTTTAACAGTTAGAAACTATAGTCACCATCAGTACATAAAACAAACTTAAAATGATATTTGCCTGAAGTGCAAGCTACTACGTCATTAGCGTAGTTAGAATAAATAAATAGCGCAGTAGGTCTCTGACAAAGAGATCAGTTAATAACGCATTATGCAAGAAATTATTCCCATAATTTGTTATTGTCCGCAGTTAAATAACAGGACATTCCGGCTTATATTAGTCAAATCAAATACAGGGTCAACACGGATTGTAGCACATTCAAATCAAGGATACTTTCATTTAAACATGTGTTGCTGCAACATTCTGAAATTTTAGAAAACAATTAAAATTAAAGGTTCTTCAATCTCTGATATGAAGATAATTATTTTCGGTATAACCAGTTGGCAAAAACGATGGAAAATCAGAGACGTCACAAAAAATTGATAAAAGCGGAGGAAAACGCTTTAAATTATGTAGGGGGTATGATGCAATGCACGTTAATGTAAGAAAATCGATTCAAATTAATCTAAAACATATTCACTAAAATTACTTGGGGATGTATAAGTTTACAAGATGGTTCTTTATTTCTTTTTTAAATAAAACCAGGGTTCAAGTATCCGCGGAACAATAATTACACAATAGCTTAGAGTATACACGTGTCTTACTGAAGGCCCCTTTTACGCTATTTGAGTCTAACATTCTATGTTTATTGTAGATATTTCTCATGAAAATAAAATAAAGAAAAGATAAAAGAAAAAAAAATGAATTAGAAAAAAAACTACACGTATTCGGTCCATATCTTTTATATACCATTTTCAAATTTGGAGAATCAAACAACCCATAAAACTGGACAAGTTATCTCCGTATGCGATGACGTCATTGTGACGCTGGTTGCTGACGTAAACCTCATCACCAACTTTCAGCTCCATGACAACTGTAACAGAGCCTTGCTCATGAGGACCATTGCGAGCGTTCCCATAGGCACCTGCTATTTCCACGCCATTCTTTTCTATAATCATATGGCTCTCATCCCCGTTGTCGTTGAACGTCACTGATGTTGAAAAAATATAAATACCGGAAACCGGTGCAATGAATATGCCACCGGAAGCATGGTACCCGCTCCCTATATTCAATTTCACGGAGTTGAAAACAAGCGTCTGGTTGACCCGGATATGATCAAGGGTTCCAGTCCTGGTAGCATGGAACGCCACAGTTTCATAATTATTGTCCAATACAAATCTACTTGGTCTATGCGGTGCTGAAATTATTTTGAGTTTAATTAATATTATGTGTAATATGATCATCAGTTGTGTGGTAAGGAATATTTGCTAATTAGATCTACATGTATATGTAATCAAAAGGACATCATTTTCATGTAATTTTATTATTAGAAATGTAAAAAGGGCGCGGGAAAACTTAGCAGTGATCGAGTCGGCTTATTGGTAACGTTGGTTTTACGGTTAACTATTTTTACTTCGTGTATGGCATAATAATATTATATTCTTTATTATCTAGATCTATGTTAGTTTGTACTGTTGACTTTTTAAACTTCTTCTATGACATTTTCTTTATTATTTTTCAGTTAGTTCAAGATTACCTGGAGCAAATTGGTGGAGCCAACTGTTTACATCATTATGTTGTAATTTGTCTTGTAGTACTGACTTAAGTTGTATTATTGTATCGTCCTGTGAGTGTACAACATTCTCAAGTTGTTTAATCGTCACAGTTTGCTGCTTTAACTGCTCAGCTTGCTCAGTGATCAGCGTACTTTGCTCCGCCACTGTGTACAAACAATGAATTACATTACGAGATTTACAGAGGGAGGTGGCACAGACGGAGAAAACGAAAATAAATTTAAAAAATGTAAATGACATGGGGCAACAAACGGGAAAAAGGGGTAATAAAGATAAAAGGCAACAACCATGGACAGGCTGCAAAAAGTTAGATATAAATGATAGAAGACAATAGACGGGGACAACTAAAAAAATAGCGGGGGGAAAAGACGTGATATACGAATTATATCAGTAAGAAGTCATCAAAAAGCGGAAAGAGTCATGGGTTTGGAAACAAATACACGAGTGGCTTGCTTTAATGTCACACATACAAAGACGTATTTAACATTCAAAATGGCGGCCATGAGAATGGCTAAAAAGCTGATAACTCGGACAATGTCCTTGGACACTCGAGATCGGATCATCCAACTTTGACTTATCATTGTGTAAAAGATCTACTTTTGTCTTTTGATTCAAGTTTCAGTGATATATACAAAGTTGAAAGAATAAAAGTTAGCGTAAGGATACTTTCGCATATACCAAATAAATATAGAGAACGTATAACCTAATAACTCATTTACAAATGAGGGTCTTTACCAAATGTGTAACTATCGTTATTATACAATATATTGAAGTTGTTCGACGATGATTTATTTCACGCTACTACAACAAACCGTCGCATTCCGTATAGAGGCAGATATGACTGCTCGTTCGTGCAGTCTAGCCCGGCTCTAGATTTTTTGTTGCTGCATATCTTTAGTTAGACTGATCTCAAAGAAAAACTTGTTCTTGTGTATCCTTAACAAATGGTACTTATAAATTCAAGGCAGAGCAAGACCATCGGGAAACAAGACTGTATCTTTACACATATACCTGACCGTGGTTAACTTAATTGGTTTAATAATGGAAAGAATGGAGAAAACTTGGTTTAATAATGGAAAGAATGGAGAATATAAATTTACCGGACGACAATGTGGAAACTTTCTTTCAGTCTATGGCAAAAAAAATCAGCTGCAGAAGGTAAAGGGTTATGGTTACAATTTGTTTGGTCTGATTTTGATTTGGAATATAACTGCTAAGATGTTTAATAAGTGACTATATAAAATGTATAAAAATGTTGACAAAGAAACAATATCATTGTGATCAATATCTACAGCATAACAAAACAATTTATCATAAAATACATTTGCATAGTTTGTGTTGACCAACGTTCGTGCTTCATACATTAAAAAAGAACGAGAGTATGAAACATTTTACCCGTTAAAGAGCAGATTAAACCTAAAATGTTGTATACCTTTCTTTTCCAGAGCATCAAAGCGTTCTATGAACGCTTGCAAGTCATCACGTGGGCTCGCGCCGTCTGCGACACCAAGTGCTGGCAGACTATACACACAAAATACAATTAATTCTTTCAAATACATCCTAACAGTTTCAAAACTATTTTATCTTTACTTATCTCCAAGTAGATACTTGTCACCTGTTATCTAACATAAATCGTTGAAAGACCGAAACGTACATTCTTGCTTTGTTCATGTACATTGTACTTTCAAAATAAAATAGAATAACTTTTATTTCCAATCAAGGGTCATATAATGACATATAAATCACAATAATAACGAGATCAAAGATCAAATTAAGATGTTAAAGAAAATTTTAAAAAAAATTGTTTAAACTATTAAACATCATTTTGAACATAATTATAATAATAATACTTAAATAAAAAATAACTGTGTTTTTTTTATCTAATTTTAAGCATTTTTTTTAAAAAATCACAAGTTTTTACAAAAAGATAATACCTTTAGTGAAGCTCTACTGTACATAAAGAAACATGCTCAAACTAAACTAACTAAAATATACAGTAGGTGGTAATTAATAATTTAAATTCAAGGAGAACTTTACTGTACAATACACGTGTCTCTTAAAAACACAAATACTGAATTACATGTATATTTATTTACATTATCTGGACAGTACTATTTCTCAGTTTATAACAAGTAAAAATAAATTCTGCATTGTTTTACGATTATTTAATCTTCATTGCTCATTTACTAGATGAGTTTGTTTATCTCAGACTGGCATTTCTTCACGATTATACTGCACAGGTACTCATAAAGAAAAATATTTTGCATCTTTATTCATTTTTGTCATCGCTAAATAGCAAACTTGGTTTAAATTTATACACCATGAATATTGTACATTTCTTACATCGCACCATTCCGAAGTACTTGCATATTTTAAAAGCGTAAAGTGTTTCCCAGAACGAGTTTGGTTTGATGGTTTCGTCATAATAAAAGGGCTTGCATGGTGTGGCACTTCAAAATTTATCATTTTCTTTAAATACCTTATTGAAACAAATTACGTTCTTTATAAAACCCACGACCCTCCCCCCACCCCCAAAAAAGTAAATAAAAATAGAAAAAAATAAACAGTATCAATTGTAGGGATAACTCTTACAATCTTATCTTCGAAAATTTACATAAGCTTACCTCCCTTCATATACACGCGTGCATAGCTCTATATACGGACACACCCTTGAATGATATATTTTTAAACATCTTTGTTTTTTATTCATTTTACGCGAGTTTTAAATAAACTTAACCGCCTGGCAACATCACATGTTTGATACTTGTTTTAGTCGATCGTTGACATGACGGAGAAGACAAAAACTTAATTATTCATTAATGACCATGGTAGAGAGGTAATTACTATTCTCCGAGAAGACCATCTGAAAGATTTGTAACGAGTTTGTCGAGATTCTTGCTCGACGTAATACATTGTGGGTATAGTCAGAAGCGTGGGCCCCCAACGGCCCAAGTCTTACTGTTATTAAGACTTATAATTCAAATGGCGGCTTTGTGTTTATAATGTTAAAATAAAGATAGGAAGTTTGTTTTGTTATCAATGCTTTAGCTTCCTTTTGAAGCACGATATTACACATAAGTATGGGACGCCAGGGGATTAAACTAACGCTGGTATGATAGTGGGTTTTTTGGCGAGTAACTCCTCTTTTAGTAAACTATTTGTTCAAAGTAGTATATGCTTACGGAGAATGGCACAAATTTACACCATAACGTTCAGGACTTGAATAACTTAAGCGTATGGGAGAATTGGATCTAGTTTCATAAATTAAAGGAAAAAATACATACTATTGATAATGGTTTTATTATTTTTTATTTTCAATGCATTTTTTAACATTTTTTTCCAGTTGTTAACAATTGTTAAACAAATAAAAGCATTATATCTCTGTTGAAATTGTTTTATCTTTCTTACACTTTTATAGAAAAGATGATATTATCCTTTGTATATTTTTTAAAAGTTTATTGTTTCATGTTTAGTGTTTAATATTCTTCGCCTTCTTCCTCACCCTCACCCTCGACGGAGTCGACCCCGACCTCTTCGTAATCCTTCTCAAGGGCAGCCAAATCTTCACGAGCCTCTGAGAATTCTCCCTCTTCCATACCCTCTCCGACGTACCAATGGACGAAAGCTCTCTTGGCGTACATCAAGTCGAACTTGTGATCAAGACGAGCCCAGGCCTCGGCGATGGCAGTGGTGTTGCTCAACATGCACACGGCACGCTGTACCTTGGCGAGATCACCACCTGGTACGACAGTTGGTGGTTGGTAGTTGATACCGACTTTGAAACCAGTTGGACACCAGTCGACGAACTGGATGGTTCTCTTGGTCTTGATGGTAGCAATGGCGGCGTTGACATCCTTGGGGACAACATCACCACGGTACAACATGCAGCAGGCCATGTACTTGCCGTGACGTGGGTCACATTTCACCATCTGGTTGGCTGGCTCAAAGCAAGCGTTGGTGATCTCGGCAACGGAGAGCTGCTCGTGGTAGGCCTTTTCAGCTGAGATGACTGGGGCGTAGGTGGCGAGGGGGAAATGGATACGTGGGTATGGTACCAAGTTGGTCTGGAACTCAGTCAAGTCGACGTTGAGGGCACCATCGAATCTGAGAGAGGCAGTGATGGAGGAGACGATTTGACCAATCAGTCTGTTCAAGTTGGTGTATGTTGGTCTTTCAATGTCCAAGTTACGTCTGCAGATATCGTAGATAGCCTCGTTGTCGACCATGAAGGCGCAGTCGGAGTGTTCAAGGGTGGTATGGGTGGTCAGGATGGAGTTGTATGGTTCAACGACGGCGGTGGCGATCTGGGGAGCTGGGTAGATGGCGAATTCCAGCTTGGATTTCTTTCCATAATCGACGGACAGACGTTCCATAAGAAGGGAGGTGAATCCAGATCCGGTACCACCACCGAAGGAGTGGAAGATGAGGAATCCCTGGAGACCGGTACACTGGTCAGCCAACTTACGGATTCTGTCGAGGACAAGGTCGACGATTTCTTTACCAATGGTGTAGTGACCACGAGCGTAGTTATTGGCAGCATCTTCCTTTCCGGTGATGAGTTGCTCGGGGTGGAACAACTGGCGGTAAGTACCAGTACGTACCTCATCTGTAAGAAGAAAATATAAAACTTCGTCAGTATTTATATAGACAATAAACATATAACAATATACGTTTCATTTGCGCTAGGATATTAAAAATTAAAACAGTAAAAAAAAATAGTTAAATAAAAAATATATTAAGCCTTTTGAAATAAAATTTACATTTTTTTTTCATTTTTATTAAATGAAATTACAAATTTAAACCACATGTAATGAAACAACAGAGGTTAAATAAAACATTATTTTTTCTTTATTTAAATGGATGTTAACAATATAACTCGTGTTCGAGTTTTATCTATTGTCTTAATTTTATTAATAATTAATTAATTTATTAATTAATTAATAAGTCTTATATTGACTTACCGACTACGGTTGGTTCCAAGTCGACGAAAACGGCTCTTGGCACGTGCTTGCCAGCTCCGGTCTCACTGAAGAAGGTGTTGAAAGAATCATCACCACCTCCGATGGTCTTGTCACTTGGCATCTGACCATCAGGCTGGATACCGTGCTCGAGACAGTACAATTCCCAGCAGGCATTACCGATCTGGACTCCGGCCTGTCCGACGTGGATAGAGATACATTCACGCTGAAAGGAGAAAAGGGGAACCAATATTAATTAAGAGTTATATCGCATAGTAGGATAAATCGGAATCAATACTTGTTATATATAGACAGACGTACTGTTAACGATTTTTGGTAAGGGAGATAACCGATATCAAATATAATTTATATACATGATGAATAAATTACTATATGCGCATTTAATGTAAAAATAGTTTTTGCGTCATCTAAAGTTTATTCATAGTCATGATCTATAACACAAACAAGATTTTATACAAATGAACTATAAATGTTTGTTTTATATGACCAATGCCTGATAAAGCCTCTTTAACTTAAAGATAACGTTTATTTGCCCTACATTAACAGTGGCGATCAATAAATAAAATGGCCGCTCATTTTAAACACATGTACAAACTAGTTTATGTTGACTTGACCTAACAACGCTAGTTTCTCATTATAAAACAAAACAAAAACAAGCGATATTATCATTATATTATCAATATTAAAGAGTAATGTTTCTATATATGTTGCGTATATCAAGCATAAAATGACGGAAACGTGTATATAATTATATCACTAATTTAACATGTTAAAAAATACACCAAACGAAATACATAAATGAAAAATCAATGTATTAAAAGTAAAAAAGAAAACTTCACTTACCATGATTGCTGTTTAAGTTGTTGATTTTTGCTTGAAAAGCGGATGAAACAAAGTAACCTCACTGGACGTGATGTGTCGACGTGAGAATACGAAGTGATGGCGCAAACAGCACACTGCGGGTATTTATTGTCGTCTGCTTCGTCCGTTGCGTGGCAAAACGTATTTAGGGCTTTTCATTGGTCAATTAAGTCACATGACTGACAACAGTGTTATTTTCAAATTTCATTGGATCTAGCGTTTCTATGCGCTTCTGCAATGGATTTTATCTTATTAAAGCCGGGTTTAAGTCTGAATGATACCGCTAAAACATGTCAGAACGCAAAATGATCGGATGATTGACCAAGGCTAAGGTTATTTGCCCTTTCGGTTCTTGTATCTTAGTTTTAAATTATAATAGATAAATAAATAAATAAATAAATAAATAAATAAATAAATAAATAAATAAATAAATAAATAAATAAATAAATAAATAAAATGGAATGTTGTATAGTAAAACAGCTTTGATATCTAATATCAGAATTATTCTGACACATAATTCTGGCAAATGTTTTTCAATCATAGACAGAAGAATTACTTACAATTATACAATTTCTTTTAAATGATTATATTTTCCCTGGTCTACATTTCGTAGTATCTCAATCAAAATTTAACATTACAGAGTAAATGAACATATTACGAACATAAGGTGGGGTATTATATTACAGGGATATATCACAGAATATATTGACCAAAACACTGTTTACAATATATAGAAATATTTACTATCATTAAATCTGTCTTGTCCTAATT